GTTCGCCTAGGGCCGCCGGCCGCCAGACTCACGAAACCCGGGGGGGCCGGCGCCCCTTACACCCCGAGGAGGGGAGGTGGGGGGACGGCTCCCTCCCGGGAGGCCCCCGGGGAGTCGCCCTTTGAGGCCTGAGGAGCGGAGATCCTCACCTTCCTCACCCCACCTGTACCCGCCCCACGAGGAGAGAAGGGCTCCCCCTGCCCAGCTCGTCCCTCTGCCTCTCTTCTTGCCAGTCTAGCACCCAGAACAGAGCAAAGGCTTAGCGAGTTCACCACCTGGAAGGTGAAGGGAGAAGCCAAAGCCAGCCGCTTCTCCCCTGCCCGCCCCCCCACCCCCCGATTTCATGTCATCTGCCTGCACCCTGTTGGCATCCGAGTTTGCAACCTTGACCTAGGGCATTAAGGGCTCAACTGGCAAACCCGGAATGCCCTCATCTCCAGCCTTCCTTCTTCCTTGAGCATCTCTGCAGACGAGGTATTAACAAGACTGGTGGTGGGGTGGTCAAACCTTGGCCAGAATAAATGCTAGGAACACTGAGGCAGGAATCAAGCTAGAAACCCACCCTTCCGACGGGGTGGGCCCCTCGCCCCGCTCTCCTCCTCTCTGCAGCCACAGCCCCGCCCAGGGTGACCCTGCTCTTCCCTGCTTGTTGGCCCCGCTTTTGGTTTGAGAGCTTTGGTCTTGGCTCCTGAAGACCTGCCCTGCTGGGATGTTTTTCCAAATGGAAATCAATTCAGATGCCTCTCAGAGGTATTTGATCAAGCCTCTGTTTGCGGGCTGAGTGGTGAACCCTTCTGGATGAGTTACACAAAGGTTGCAGGGAGGCGCCTGGACCACGGGGCTGCTCTGGGCCAGGTTCTCGGTGAACTGGCAGACTGTGCCCTTTTGCCTGAGTGAAGTGGCATCGAGGGCTCAGGTTGGGGGAGGAGGTCCGACCACCAGGGACCCCAGGGTAGGACTCAGTGTGAGGCGCATGCCCAGCCCTCCACTATGCGCCAGCTGCGGCCAGAGGTGCAGCTAGGACATCCCTGGGCTGACGCGCCTGGGTCTCACTACCCTGGGAAATGCCGGGGGGCACCAAATGAAGACAGTTTCAGTCCCTGGGGAAATCCAGCCGCGCCTTACTGAAACACTGAGCGGTGGGCAGGTGGGACTGACGACTTTCTGCCGTCCTCAGGGGCCCCACTTCCTACCTCCATTTAAACGGCCACCCAAAGAGCAGAATGTTAATGAGCAGCAGCTTCCTCTCAGTCACTTTGTCCCCCCACCCCGCTGCCATCGTGTACCCAGCCTCAGAAATAGATCCATTCTTTTCACTTCTGAGAGACATTGGACAACTGCTCTCACCTGATGATGGACTTATGCTCAACTTGAAGGACAAGTTCCTACTTCGAAGCCCTAAAACTGTGTATGGCGCTACACAGCAGCGCACGCATGGCAAGTAGTTCCTTTACAGTTTTCATGGCCCGCTGGAGACACTACACTGCACAGAAACCATCAGGAGCTCCCCAATACCGGAAACTAGATGGAAAGGACTTTGGGGGAAGACTGGCAGGAACCCTACAAACGCAATACGTTCCCTGGGGCCTCCTCCTTGGCAGAGCCAAGGTAGCTCTCACCATTCCCTGTGTCCCTTAGCACGTGGCAGTATTTATTTATTTATTTGGAAGATTTTGCCTACTGCTCTATATTTATAGATATTTATAAAAATGTAACCCCAACTTTTTCCTTTCTTCTGTTAAAACAAATAAAATTTATCTCAGTTTCTCTTAGCTCTTCCTCCCTGTATCACTACCTAAAAGTTGTCAGAATATGAGTAAAAGGGATTACGGGAGGGGAGCACTGGGAAAATCTAGAGAAAGCAAAAGTGAAAAACAAATCAGAATTGTGAAATATTCAAAGTTTTTTCCATGCATAAATGAACTCAGCAATTTTGACTAATTCAGACAGAATTATTGCTAACAAGAAAATTTCTAAATCAATGTTGGATTTCTGATCACTCTAGTGTTTCCTTTAAAGAGAGAATTTTTCTTTTTTTAATTTGAAAAATACCCGTAGACACAACCACATCAAGATCCCAGGGAACCTTTAAAGGAAGATGACACATGCCAGGCTCTATGAGAAGAAATAAGGGGAAATAGCCCACAGCCAAGAGAAAATGCCATCATTAGAAGCCAACCACTGGACAACCCAGATCTGGGGGTTGGGGGCAGGGACTTTATTTTATTTTATCTTTTATAACTTTTTTCGGGGGGTGGGAGGAGTAATTTATTTATTTTTAGAGGAGGTACAGGGGATCGAACTCAGGACCTCGTGCATGCTAAGCATGCAGCTCTACCACTTGAGCTACACCCTCCCCCCAGGGCAGGCACTTTAAAGCAGCTATTACAAACATCTCTAAGGGTTTAAAAGGAAAGAAAGATACTAAGCAACAAGCAGATCAGGCATCTCAGAAAATAAAGAGCCAGATACAGATGTAGAATTGAAAGATAATGATCCTGATAGAATACATTTATTAAATGGGCTAAATACTAAACTGAAGATGAAAGAATAGACTGAAAATAAGAAAGTTAATATGTTACCTAATCTGAAGAACAAAGAAAAAGTAGGTTAAAAAATCGTAAGGGCCACAGCCTCAGTGATCTGTGGGGCAAGATCAAACTGCCCCAAAGGAGTCCCAGGACTGAAGTGGGAAAAACTGGGGAATGATATCTGACGATACAATGGCTGAAATTTTCCCCTAATTGATGAAAAACTCCTGTGCTGATCCAAGCTCAGCAAACCTCAAGGAAGAGAAACACAAGGAAAGTCACACTCAGGCACGTCACAGTCAGAACCGCTGAAGACAAAAGACAAAATCTTGGAAGCTACTGCAGAAAGTAACACTTTCCGTCTAGGTGAACAGCTTTCAGACTGATGGGCGATTCCTCAGCGAAAACAAAGGGAGCCCGCAAACCCCGGAAAGGCTGAAAGGAAACAAAGCTATGTGCCCAGAACTACGTATCCAGCAGGAGCATCCTTCGAATGGGGTGGGGGATGAGGGTGGGGCAGAAACTGGGAGCTTGCGGCCAGGCTGAAAAGAAACAACAGCCCACGGGAAAACTACAGAAAACAAGCACAAGCATCAGAAATAGTAAAAATGTGGGTAAATTTAAACAACTGTAAATACAGGATACACATTCTTCCCTTGGTTTCTTTAAAATACCTCCTAGAGCAAAAATTACAACATTGCTGCGTGACACAGTTTCCACACGGGATGGGGAGGGTAGATGAACAGATGGGTGCCAGACCGTGACTCCGTGTGACCGCCACACAACATGCGTTCTCAGCAGACTGAGGCAGGAGTACTGCACGTATAATCCTAAAGCACCCACAGTAACAGTAACGCGAAGAGGTGTTGGCAAAAGGCCAGTGAAAGTGTGGGAAGAGAATACTAAAAAGTACTCGATCATCCCAAAGGATGGCAGGAAAGGGGGCTGAACAACACAACCAGGACCAGAGGGGACCAGCAGACAGGCGACAGGCTGCATCCAATCCTACCAGCAGCTGGGTCAGATGGAAATGAAACACCACAACTAGAGGCAGGACCGCTCAGACTTCATGAAGTAAAAGCTCCCGCTTCCAGGTTGTCTATAAAAGACGTACCTGAAGGAAAGAAGGGAAGGACTGCCTAACAACCCGCCACAGGCTGCATGGCTCAAACCACCGAATCTCTCCTCGGAGCTGCGGAGGCCAGGAGTCCAAAGGCAAGGTGCCGGCAGGTGTCACCCCTCCGAGCCTCTCACCTTGGCTTAGAGGCGGCCACCCCCTGGCCGCGTCCTCACGTGGTCTTCCCTCTGGGCTCACGCATGCCCGGTGTCTCTCAGTGTGAATAAACTTCCTCCTCTTTTAAGGACAGCAGCCAGGCTGGGTTAGGGCTCACCCGACTGGCCTCATCTTAATGGTGTCTTTACAGGCCCTGCCCCTAGAAGTCACATTCTGAGTTTCGACACGGGGTCTGAGAGGACAACTCGGTCCCTAACAGACACACACAGTGCGAACAGCGAGCGTAGCACGGTGGGCTTCCCGCATGAACAGCAGACAGAGCAAGCGCCAAGCTAAGCAAAACTGCCACAGGGGAAGAGGGACGCTTTATACATGACAGAAGGGCCAACTCACAAGGAAGACATAAAACGCATGAACGCTGAAGTCTCTTAAAACAGGAACAGAGCACAGGCAGCAGAACTGACGAAACTGAAGGGAGAAACAGGCAAGCCCGGCCCCGCCGGAAGCGCGCGCCCCTCCCGCGGCGAGCGAGCTGGCGACCGGCCGAAGGCCGCAAAGGGCTCGAGGCTCCCAAGCGACGCGACTCACGAGCTTCGCAGCATGTACGGTCCCAGGGCCCTGAACCCGGCACCCACAGGAGACAGCCTTTCCAGGGACACACGGAAAGTCCGCCAACGGAGACCGCATACGGGGCCAACAAACACGTCTCAACTGAATCAGAAATTCGGAGCCTCACAGAGCAAGATGACTGCCTGAATACAAATAAATGGGGAGACGGGTACCGCCTCTCAGGCAGGATTCCAAATAATTTATGTGGACACGGTCCTCAGGGAGGGAGGATCAACCCCACTGTGGGCAGTGGCTTCCTTCCACAGGGTCCCGGGAAGAAAGGCGGGAAGGAAAGTCACTTCCCCGAAAAGGAACCTCATACACACCACGTCAGCCAGGTGACCAAGGCCAACGATCAAGAGCCGGGGAGGGTGCAGCTCAGGGGTAGGTGCGTGCCTAGCACGCGTGAGGTCCTGGGTCCAATCCCCAGTGCCGCCATTAAAAAGCAGAACAAACAAAAAACAACAGAGAACACTGAATATACCGAAACGCCCGCTAGCAGGAGAACGAACCAAACGTGCTACATTTATTCAGTAGACTCCAGCGGTTACAAGCAAGCAGTTCTGTGCGTGTCAGCACGGCAGCCCAGGGGAAAAGGGAAGATACAGAGTACAGGCGGCTGGGTGTAGTTACGGACATTTTTAAAACCAAGACAATACCGCTCCCTTACGACGTAAAGGATGGGTGAGTGCAGACTCGCGGGGGTGTCACCTCTGCAGGAACCAGAGACAGAGCTGTGACAGCTGGCTAAAGGGCCTTTACAAACATCTCAGTGTGTTCTTTCTTTAAAAAAAAAAAGGGCAGGGTAGGGAAGGGAATGATCACTTCTGAATGGTGGGAACGTGGACATGTATTATTTGTCTTTTGGGGTCATTTTCCCAAGTTTTCATCTACAGCGAACTTGCTCTGCTCAGTTGCATGCCCCTATTCCACTCCCAGCAGGAAGGCAGGTGGCCCTGCACAGACCGAGGACAGGCGACACTGAACTGCACAGGTGATTCAAGTGACGTTCAAAGTAAATTGTGACAACACATGGTCTTAGCCTTAACTGACAGCTCCGGCGCTACCTGCTTGTAAGCTGACGCCCAGCATTCGTCCACATGATAACGTAAAAGCAAACTGCATGGGAAACACTTTTCCTTCCAGATGAGGAATTAAGAACGACCCATCTTACACACACAATTAAGTTCACCAAATCCCTTCCCTCCAGCGCCATCTGGTGGGGAAAGGAGGCACCCTCATCTGCATCTTTCACAAAAACGCCGCCGTTGTGGGTGACAGAGCTCAGTTCTTCTCGACGGAGCCCCTCCTTTATCCTGGGGCTGCTGCAAGGTCCGCCAGCATCTGCTTGCTTCCTTTAGAGCCTTTTTCAGACTAAATCCTTCAGGTCAGGTAAGAAAGATCTGCTCTTTCCTCATCTTCTGCTCAGAGAGTCCTCCTTTAGAATTCCGGAATCAGATGACACTCCTCCCTCGTGCGATGACCCTGCAACCGTAATCCGCGTTCATCCACGTCTCCAACCTCCAGCACCAACAATCCCAGCAGCTGATTAAATGTTTAGTGTCGTCTGCTTCTACATAAGCTATGAGGACCAGCATTTCTCATTTAAGGGACTTTTAAAATACCAGTATCACATAAATATGGAGTGGGAATTACAGACCGTTCCCTCATCCAAGAGCTGGATGAGATAGTAAGGGAAAAAAAACACGGCAGGAGGTTAGAGCTCAGTGGTAGAGCGTGTGCTTATTAGCATGCATGAGGTCCTGGGTTCAATCCCCAGTACCTCCATTAAAAAAAAATACAGTATCTTGCCAAGAGCCAGTAAAATAGGCCAGATTTTGCAGACATTAAAGAAAAATACTGATGTAGAAAAAAGGAAAAACAAAAACAACACAGTAGCAGGGTGATTAATCCCCCAATTTGCAATGCTGAGTTCCTTCACCTGTTTACAATCCAGATTCATAAACGAGCAGGTTGGTAAAATTACTCTGGAAAATTCCAAATGCACTCAGACGAAAGACAGCAATTCCGGATGGTCTTCCCTTAGGGTTTCACACGGCTCTGACACCACCCGAGCTTTATAACCTGCGCCGTGGGCACCTTTTGCCTGTCTCCACAAGTGCACGAGCAGAGGATGGAGACAGAGTCCGAGGCACTCCCTCCGAGGGTCGCAGTCTCTAGATGTGGGTGTGGAGTTAAATTTACTGCGTGTCAGTCACCCCAGTCAGATGGTCCTGGAGGTTCACACAAACACACTGGGTTGTCGGCTTAACGTGTCCTTCCTCCAGGCTGACAATAAAGACACTGATCCCTGTGTTGGGGCTGACCGAGGAAAGTTCCGATCTGCTCAGAGTGGCCGGGAAGGAACACTCCAGGTCGGTCAGGAAGTAACCCAGCAGGCTCTTCAAGTAGCCGCCGTGACTCACAACCAAGACGCTGGCCGCGAATCCCGGCGCGCCGGGCTCGGACTTGGATCTGGGGGCACAGTTGTTCCCGAAAGGAAATCTCTCTGCCAAAGAAGTTTCCAGATGGTTGCTGGGAGCTTCTTGGGAACACTGCTCATTCTGACCTGCCTCCTTCAGAATCAGCTGACAAAGAAATTCAAAAAAGTCTTTCCCACGCATTTTCACCTACAAGGAAAGAAATAAAAAGTGAAATAAAGTGACATTGATGACTATCTTAAAACATAAACATAACCATAACCAATTGGTTTTTTTCCATTATAAGTACTAAGAACCAGATGACTTCTGTATTTCTCTTTAATCGGGAGGTCCACAGCACTGGTGAGCGAGTGCCCACAGTATTTCTGGAACCATGAAGGCTCTCTGAGGACAAAGATGAGTAAGATACAATTCCTGATTCCCGACTTGAAAGCACACGTGTCTAGCTGGGGAAACCTACAAGCAGACAGAAGCCCACAGATCATGTCATGAGATGGTATCACGCAGAGCTGTTTAATGAGCCAGACAACTTTCAAACTGCTTATGAGCTAAAATCCAGAAACATCAGGCACACACAAGGAGTCAGAGGTCAGCCCCTCTGACACGGGCAAGCTCGCCGACGCTACCCAGGCTGCGCACCTGGTCCAGGGTCTCTCCACCGGGCGGGGTGAACACAGGGCACTCCTCCCCAGCCGCACGGGCCATGGCCCTCAGCTCGCTCAGCGGCCTGCCTTCTGCAACCCCGTATTTCTGCAACGATCCAAAAGACAGAAGGGCCTCACGTGAGTCTGCAGGATAGTTCAGGGCACATCTGTGACAGTTTCATGACAGTCATCCGGGGAACAGGCCTAGTCCCTTCTGCTCAGTTGCTCAATCTCCTTGGAGAAAACGCAAATCCAGATCCATGTGACCTTGAAGCTCATCAGCCTTTTAGGGTCTATCAAAACTGACCCTTAGCAGGGGACACAGGCCACAAAGGAAATACAAACGGCCAGGAAACACGGGAAGTCTACCTCATCAGGAACCTGCAGTGTGAAAATTAAAATGGCACCTTTCACAAGACATTAAATTGGAAGGCCAGAGAGATCACTAACAGCCAGTGTCCATGTGACAGAGACTCTCCCCTGCATCATTCGTGGGGCTATCCGCTGCACAGCTTTTCTGGAAGGGAATTTAGCAATAAGCACAAAAGCCTTTGAAAAAGTACACACTCGGTGATTCCATTTCTAGGAAATGTATTACACATGTGTACAAAGAATTAACTACAAAGACGTTTATTTTAACATTATTTATGTCAGTGGGAAATCTAGTCACAAGTTGGACGTCCTAAGCTAGGTCCGCAGTAGCTTGGTCAAGTACACGATGCGGCATCAGCGCAGCAGGACAGCACGGAGCCGTTAATCAGGGGTCATAGCGAAGTGCATCTGCGGGCACCGAAACACACAGCGAGGGAGAAAAGTTGGTTAAAAAACAAGTAGGAGAGCATTTAGAAAAATATATGCACAATCAGACAGACAGACAGACAGACACGGAAAAGTCCGGAGCACACACACTGCAACGATCGGGGTGTGTGTGTGTGTGGCAGGAATTGTTACTTTTCTCCCGAAGTGTTCTTAACTGTTAATTCCCTACAGGGACAACGGATTACTTGCATAAAAAAATATTTAAAGACACAAACGATTACATATGGTTTGCACTGATGATGCCAAAAGATTCTAACACCACCTCAGATACAAGCCCAATCATGAAGTATTACTTTTTTATAAGAACACATGCACCTTCGCCAGCTGCTCTTCCAACCCTCAAGTCCAAGCTCTTACACCTCAGCTGCACCTGGAGCAGCCTCCATACAGAGGGCCATGAAAACCTCCACTTGCTTCGTTTTTACAAGAATGGAAACAGCCATTTGTTAAAGGCCCCGGATGCTACACCGGAGCGTGTCAGGCGAGGAGGCCAGGGAGGGGGGAGAGGACAGCAGTGACATGGGGCATCCCCATGCTGAGGCTGCAGCATGCACCAGGGTCTATTCTAAATGCAAGCAGCCAAGGGCGTGATGGGGAGAACCAGAGATGGCTTGGACACAGACGGCAAGATGTCGAGTCTAGACTTGGGAGATCACAGAGGGCCACTCCTCCGGGGGGGGGAAGGTGGCCAGGTTTGGGGAGCAAGCATTTCAGGCAGAGCAGAGTGCAGATGCGAGGGTTCAGCGAGGACAAAGCATGGGACGTTGGGGCAACTCCAAGAAGACCTGGCAGAAGCACGTGACCAGCGGTCCGGAGCATGGACATGGGCCCAGAGGCCTCAATCTGAACCTGAACTCTGCCACAGACGAGCTCTGTGGCCCTGGGCGTGGACTCGGCCTCTGGGTGCCTTAGTTTCTGCTTCTGTAAAGTGGGGGTTAAAGAACGAGGTTTTGACACCTTCCAGCCCTGGGTTCTTGTGAAGATGACCAAACCTGAAGCTCGTAGCTCTCGGAACAGCGGCAGAACGTGGTGAGCAAACACAGCTAGTGTGAGGCTAAGCCCGGGCTCCAAGCACAAGGGAAAAGGAAGGAGGCAGCAGAGCAGACCCTGCAGCGCGCGACAGCCAGGTTAGACTCACGGCAGCCTTTTGCGGGTCAGAGAGAAGGAGCGAGCTGTTTCACACAGGCACGCGGCCACCAGAGCTTGCAAAGATCACCCTGGCCGCAGCGGGCAGACTAGACTGGAAAAGGGGGAGCAAGACAGAAAGCAGGAGAACCCCTGTCCCAGGGATCCAGGCGGCAGGCAGCCCTGAGCTGCCACAGGAGGGCAGCAGTGGGTTCGTCGCGAGATGAAGGGTTCGGGTGCTACTCGGAGGAGGGACCGGATGACAAGACATGCAGCGTGAGACACAGGGAACAGCAGAGAATGGTGTCAGCCACCGGGCAGAGCAGGGCGTGCACTGGCCGGAAGCGGCTGCAGGGCATCTGGATGGGAGAGCACGACGCTGCTCGGGAGACGGCAGAGAGGAGCAGGCGCGGCCGGCCCACGACGACGCGCCCTCCTACTGCGCGTCCAGGGTCCACTGAACTCAGAACACTTTTCTTTAACAACACTTGAGCATTGGTTCTTGGGCACAGAGTGGGCCTTTCCGAGGAGCATTTACGCCGGAGCCCTAGCGTCTAGGTTGAACTGTAACAGAGAACACACGCAAGTGGTGCAGAGACGCCCTAGCCATCCTGTTCCCTCCCTCCCCAGGTGGAGGAGCGCGCACGGGGCTGGCAGGGAGGCTAACCGCTCACTCATCGGTGTCAGAGCATCCCCAAAACGCTGCTCCAGGAGGGGACTTGGGGTGAAATCTCAGACCTGAAAGTGCTGTATGGTTTTAACTAAATCGCAGCCTCAGGAAGACTCATTGCTGGTACGTACGATTGGCATCAAAGAAGTCTCTTCACGCTTACAGTTAGCAGGGAGGACTGGGAGGCTGGGGAGACAGCGTCTCACTTTTATTGTAAACTCCTCTGCACTAAGGTCTTGCAAGCATCCCTTGCTTTTCGTAATCCAAGATGCCTCTCTCTTATGATTTTAATAAGTAAATGAGGCACAATCTATGAGAGTAAGACTGTCACACAGGAGAGTCCTAACAGATTAGCTGATTTCACATCCCTGGCTGGAACACGTTCAAGCTTTAGTCGAAGGATAAACTGAGTTGGTTTACTGATGACTTACGGTAAAAGGACAGTATGTCACTGGATTACTTACCCTCTCCCGCAGTCTTGAGTCATATTTTACTGTCATATCTTTGCAAAATCTGCTCTTCTCCAAAATCCCATGCACGGTCTGCAAATCAAAAGAGAACTGTTCCTTCTCTCATAAAAACCATCCTTCCGGGAGGGTTCCGGACGGTGGCAGAGGGTCCTGAACTCGCCTCCTCGCAGGGACAACACAGCTACAACTACACATGGGATGATGTCCTTGGAAAGGGACGTGAAAACTGGATGGACAGAGCCTCCCCAACAAGGGGTAAAACCACAGCACGGAGTCGGACAGGAGGGGCAGAGAGGAGGGCAGAAGGCGCTCACCAAGGAAAGCCCACATCCGGGACAGCAGGCCACAACGGGGAGGGGTCAGCGGGCACCCCCTGCCGGAGGAGCCAGGGATTCGAGTTCCATGCCAGGCACCCCAACCACTGCACAGGAGAGAGGAGCCGCCCAAACCTCTGGCTTTGAACCAACAGGGAACAAGTCCCGGAAAACTGCAGAGGTGCGCGGAACCAAAAATCTGCTCTGAAACGGCCAGTTCACAAACTCACTCAATCCAAAAACCACATGGACCACACGTGAAGGAAACCCACTTACTAATCTTGAAGCATCTGCCAGAGGGGCAGGAGCCAGCTGGGACAACCCCCAGGGACTGAGTCACTGTTGGGAGCCATTTGTGTGACCTCGGGCTACCCTGCCAACGCCAACCCTGGTGGGCGCCACTCTGGAATTCCCAACCCAAGCTGTCAGCCCGGCTGAGAGCCCTGCCATCAGCACCCGCGGCAGCCGTGGCCCAGCACACCTGGAGGGTGCGCGCAGCCCGCACAGGGCCGTCCCTGGACTGCCTCGCACTGGTGGCCAGACGGGCCGTGCTTCTGAGCCCTACAGGACACTGCCTACATGCACCACTCCTGCAGGACTGGGAGAGACAGCTGATGTGTCTAACACACAGAAACAAACACAGAGATCAGTCAAAACGAGGAGACAGAAAAGCATGTTCCAATCAAAAAAAAAAAGATAAAACCTCAGAAAAAGAACTAAGCCAAATGGAGATGAGCAATCTACCTGCTAAAGAGCTCACAGCAACGGTCACAGGGACGCTCCCTGAGCTCGAGAGAACAACAAATGAACACAGCGAGAACTCCAGCAAAGGGAAGGCGAATGGAAGAGAGCACCGAACAGGAGTTATAGCTGAACCGGAAAACACGCCAGAGGCGCTCAAAAGAAGACGGGATGAGGCAGAAGAGGTCAGCGACCTGGAAAACCAAACAGCAGCGAAATGAAGAATTTTTAAAAGTGCAAATACCTTAAGGGACCCCCGAGACAACATCAAGTGCATTGACACATGCGTTGCAGGGGTCTCAGGAGAAGAGAGAGGTGGTCAGAAAATTTTTTAGAGAAATACTGGCTAAGACTTCTCCTCATGTAGGGGAGGGAGCAGACATCCCGGTGCAGGAAGCCCAGGGACTCCTTCCAAAAAAGGAAAGTCCAAAGAGACGCACGCCAAGACGTGTGACAATTAGAAAGGTAGACGTCAAGGATACAGAGAGAACCCCAAAAAGCAGCAGGAGAAAAACATCTGTTACACGCAAGGAAAACCCTGTAAGGCTCTCAGCAGATTTTCCAGCATAAACGCTACAGGCCAGGGTGGGGGCAGGACATACTCAGGGCGCTGGGAATTCTGCACCCAGCAAGGGTATCTCTCAGAACTGACAGAGAGACCAAGGACCCCCCAGATAAACAGGCTGAACGAGGCCATCGCCCCCTAACAAGCCCTGCAGGGAACGTGAAAGGGGCCTCTCCGAGCTGGAGAGAAATGGTACTAATAAATAAGGAAACATTTGAAAGTAAAAATCTCACCGGAAATGGTAAATATGTAACAAAGGTAGTGGATTGATCACTTATAAAACGAAGATGAAGACGCTGAAAGACAGAAAGCCATAAAATTACAATAATTAGTTTGGAGATCCATAAAACAAAAAAGCTGTAAAATGTGTCAGAAGCGGTATAAACACATGGGGAGAGGGAGAAAGAAAAGCTGTGGAATGTGTTCAGATTTAAGCTGCTACCAGCTTTAAAGCTGGCTGCTACTTACACAGGGCGCCACGTGTGAACTTCACAGCAACCACCCAGAAAAACTTACACTAATGACACAATGGAGAATGAGAGAGGAGTCTACACACAATGCTAAAGAAAACCACCAAACCACAAGGGGAGAGAAAGAGGGAAGGAAGGAACAAAGAGAACCTGCAGAAACAGCCGGAAAACAACGAGCAAAGTGGCACTAAGTCCGCACCTACGGACAGCGACTCCACACGCAGAGGGACTCGGTGCGCCGAACAGACGCAGAGGGGCCGAGTACACGGAAAAACCAAGACCCACGCACGGGCGGCCCGCAAGGGGCTCGCTTCCGAAGAAAGGACACACACAGACTGCAAAAAGGTGGAGAAAGATTCTGCATGCAGATGGAAATGGAAAAAAAAGCTGGAGTGGCTACACGCAGATCAGACAAAGCAGGTTTTAAAACAAAGGCTGTAATAAAAGACAAGAAACATTACATGATAAAGCTTTGCCCCCCGAATTCACTGAGACTGCTGGGTTCTCTCTGGCTTCTACCAGTCGGGGGACTGCCTCGGCCGGAAAACCAGGACAACCGAGGGCTCACCTTGCTTGGGGACGGCAGCCCACGCCGCCTCAAGACCAACGTCTGAAAACAGCTGCGCACATTTTGTCCCGTTTTCTAGCTGTTTGGGGGGGCGGGGGGGCTACATTCCAAACCTGTTATTCCCTCATGGATGTCACAAAAGTCTCCTTCCACTGAGCTTTTAGAAGTTGATCTGGTTCTTCTTTAAATCTCTGGGGCCATTTTTATAGTAATCTATGCCCTAAAGATACTTCATGCAAGTCTGTCGTGTTTTTATAGTAACACAGTTCTTTGCTAAACTGTACCTGGATTCCAGTATCTGACATCTCTGTGGTGTTTCCACTGGCTCTTTCTCACGACACCCTCTTTGCCTTTTTCAGGATTTCGTTAGACATTTTCCCCAGGCTACTCTAGTTTAAAAATTACCAAAATAAAGTATAAAAGTAAAGTGAAAAGAGAAGAAATAAGTTCTGTCGGCAGAGAGAAGGGGACTGGGGACGATGTGTGCAGATGATTTAATTCCCTACAGACTCTGGGAGCAAATATTTCAAGGTTACAAGTGTTGAGAGCTTAAATCTTGACTCTAAACTTACCTGCTTTGTCCTCATGAGGTCACTGGAGAAAACATGAGTAAACTTCACGTTATTAAGAAATATACCAGCAGCAGCTGCTTGTTTAAATCCAGTTTCTGAAAGAGGCTCATCTATTCCTTGTCCTGTGGTCATTGAGAAGGAAAAGTAGCATTCAAATATACACATGTATATACAAAGGATGCGAATAAAAGTCATATGGAAGAGAATACAAATAGCATTCATCTATTATTTTATTAAAAGATTTCCTTAGGTACTTCTGCAGACAACTTTTCAGAGAATTGAAAGCAAGTAAAATTAAGCTATGATCCCATAAAGGCTCAGAAGAATATCTGCCTGATGGGAACCGGGTGCTGGTGACACTGTCCCGAGGTCCCCGCTCACCCTCACCCATCACTTCACCAGTGTGTTTTATTAACGCTGCCTCTGACCTTACGTTCTCAGCTCAGCTGCTGCATCTGGGTGGTCGGATTATCACATGGAAAAGTTCTTCTTTATCTCCATTGCCCAAACTCAGGAATGTTCAGTACTGCAAACCACTCTCAACAAAGGCCGAAAGGCCTTCCAGTCATTTAGAGCAAACAACAGTTGAGTCAGTGACTCAACACACAGGAAAACAATCTACCGTGAATGAGAGTCAGCAGAAACAACAAACAACAGGTCTGGAACCACTGATGCTTCAGACGTGGAAATCAGAAAACAGAGACTATAAACTAAATCACAAAAATAGGCAACAAGAAGCCATCAAAAACAACCAGGTAGCTTTCTAAAGAACCAAACAGACCTTCTGATAAAGAAAAATGGAACAGCTGAGGCGAGAATGAAATCCCTCAGTGGAAAGGGAGATTCACTGGCCGAGCAGCTTACTGAACCCTAAGGCAGGGCCGAAGCTGTTTCTGGCACAGACAGAAGATGGAGCACGTCTCGGATCTTAGAGACACGGAGGAAAGAATGAGGACTCCCAGTTACATCCAGTGGGAGCTCCAGGAAGAGAGAAAATCAAAAACAGGAAGTAGGGAATAGAGAACAGGAAGTATGGAACAGAGAACAGGAAGTATGGACTAAAGAACAGGAAGTATGGAACAGAGACCAAGAAGTACGGAATAGAGAACAGGAAGCATGGAATTGAGAACAGTAAGTATGGAATGGAGACCAGGAAGTATGGAGAACAGAAATGAGGGAAGACAGAAATCTACTGATGAAGGAAATATGGTGTACACCAAGCAGAATAAATTATTTAGGGACAAAAAAAGTCCTAGATTTTGTAAGAGAAACTGTAGAATACCAAAATAAAACAAGAAGACAGAGAAAGACAGACTACCCACCATGGGACACCATTCAGCTGAGAGAAGACTTCTGAACAGGAACAATGGAAGCCAAAAAAACCAGCAGAGGACAGCTTCCAAGAGCTAAGGGAACTGCTCGCCTAGAACTGTCTGGACCAAGAAAGATTCAAGAGAATAAAAACAGAGTTGTCTAGAATCGAATCGACTGAGACTATCTTCACCACCAACCAATTTACATGAGAGGACTTTTCCAAAGAGATGCTCCAGGAATGAAGGTCTGAGACACAAAAGAAATGGTTAGGAGAGAAACTGGCAAATACACACGTAAATCTAAGTGAACACTGTCTAAGTAGTGAATTAAATAATAATGCCTATGTCGCGTGGTTAAAAGAGGACAGGACTGAGACGCTAAACAGCACATACTTCTTAGTATTCTGGGGAGGGAGAATTTATCATACACTTAGGTAGGTACGAATGGTAAAAATCTAAAGGTAACCATTAAAAGAACAGAAACGGCTTCTTTCAAGGCAGTAGGGAAAGTGAGAGTGGGCTGGAAACAGAAAAGAGAAAACAGGCACTTAAGAAGTCAAGCTAAGAGAGAAGAAAAAGAACGGAGGAAAGAATCACAAAGGACAGGTCCAAACTCACCAGAAGCCAGATCAGTCTCACCAAGTAACAGAAAGAATGTATTTTTTAAAAAAGAACCAAAATTAGCTACCTACCATTTATAAGGCAACACTGAGGACATCAGTACATGGCAAGGATGAAAGGAAAGGGATGGGAAAATATGTAACAGGCAGATTCCAATCCCACAGCTGAAGCTGAAGCCGAAGCAGCCACATCACTGTCAGAAATGCAGGACTTTATGACAAGAGTCTTGGGAAGGAGTGTGAAGATCACTGTGAATAATCAGCGATCCAATTCAGCAGGAAGATACAGCAATTTTTAAACTTGCATGTGCCTAACAAAATAGCCTCTAACTATGCAAAAGCGAACACATAAAGCACAAGGTGACAGAATTTCACGTATTAAAAGGATGAGCTGGCCATCACAATGGGGAACTCAACATCTCTCACTCACAAATGGACACCTAGGTCATTCAGGCAAATGAGTAAATGTACAGAATGAGTGAAGTACAGAAGATCTGAACAACAAAATCACGGTTGATTATTTGATATATAACTCCAAACCCAACCAGGAGACAACATAGACTTTTCTCAAGCGTACAGTGGTAGATTTATAAAAACTGACCATGCTAACGAATTTCAAAGATGTGTCATCAAATAAACCATACTGTCAGAACACAAAGCAACTGCTTCCTAAGTCGGTCAGAGAAGACGAAGCACAAAACCAAAAGGCCCCTCATTCGGAAATTTAAAAGCCCGTTCTAAGCAACTCAGGAGTCAATGACAAAATCATAAAGGAAATTTAAGATACTTGGTGCTCGATACTTATGAGATCACTACAAATCAGAACTGTAGGTGTGCAACAAAATGGCACTTAGACACACATAAGGCTCGAAGACTTTCTTTCTTTTTTAAAAAAGGAGGCTCTAACTTAAAGAATTAAGCATCTAACTTACAAAGTTAGGGAAAGAACACAAAACAAACCCAAAAAATGGATGTGAACACAAAAACTTTAATTCATGTTCAACTGTCAGCTTGGAATGAAATGAAACAGATCAGCAGGACCCACAGACAAGGTGTTAGGGATGTGAGTTCAGAGGATGCTTTGAGTGGGGCCCATCTCAGTGGAAAACAGAGGTTCTTTTAATTATCGGACTGGTTTCCAGGAGAGGGAGTCAGGCACACGAAGCGTGAAAAGCAGTTTCTGCAACCCCAGCCGCCCCTAACCAAGTCATATCAAATTAAATACATGCTCGTATAATCCAGCTTCAGAAACAGCATGTCTAGCTGAAAGCTCACCCAAGACGTTCTTTATAAAAGCCGGACCAGCTGGGTCACAGCGAGATTAAAAGATCTGAACCCAAATTAACGGAACAAGGGAGGAAGAATCTGTTCAAGCAACAATCCTCCCATGTGAGGAGTCCTCTTTTTAAACCACTTATTCGTTACTACTAAAAATAATAAGCTATCTTAGCAGAAAAACGCCATTAACACCAGCCAGCAAACTTTGTTTCCAAATATGAAATCATTTTTAAATCTGGGCAGATATATTTTAAGACAACTAGACCCAATATAACTCTTTCATCAGCTGACTGGGCCACTTTGAAGCTGCCCATACATGACTTGGAACAGGCTTTTTTACACCCAGTTCACTCGAGAGACTTACTCCTCTTGGTTACCATCTGCTCTGATCCTATTTCTGTGACTAAGATGCTTTAATTCCGTAATCCCAGTTCACAGTACAGAGCTGCCCCCGGTCCACCCGACCCCACCAAATCTGATTAACCCACATTTCACATTAACGCAAAAGGAGAGGGCTGAAGTAACAGTCAGAGAATACCAACCTTGAATTATTTTCTCCCTGTTAAATCTTGTTTCTCCACTGAAATAGATGGGAAAAGCCTTTATTACCGAATTATGTTATTTTTGAAATAAGAAAAAAAATCAGCAATGAAAAGTAATGATATTTGTAAAGACAGCACAATCTAACCTATAAAAATAAAACGTATTCTCAGTTACATGGTAGTACACATAAAACAGATAAACAACAGAGTCCTGCTGTTGAGCACAGGGAACTATATTCAATTTCTTGTAATGACACATATTGGAAAAGAAATTGAAAAAAAAATATGTATGTATATGTGTAACTGAATCTCTTTGCTGTATATCTGAAACTAACACTGGAAATTGACTACACTTCAATTAACAAATAAACAGATATATTTAAATAAAATATGAAAAAATAAAATATATTCTAAACTAATATCTGTAATCATCTACGCACCTAATTGATGAGCTAAAAACTTTAAACTGCCCCAAATTAAAATACATATATAGATCAACCTTAAATGAACTGAGGATAGAAAATGCTATTATAAAATGACATGAATATATAATTTTTGTTAAATAATCTTCTTAAAATAAACAGGTTGGCCAAAACCACGTTCACACGCAGCAGGACCGAAACATGACAGCGGGCCGTCTGCCACTGGGCTGAGTGACCCAGCGCAAGGCAGGGTGAGCAGAGGGCAAGGGTCGCGCAGACCGACAGACCCGGCCCCGCCTTCCAGTCCCGAGCTGCTCACCCTGCGCCACCCTGCAATGCTGAGCACTAGCTGCAGCCCACCCCGAGGGATCAGAAAACCAACCCAAACCCGTTCTGCAGCAACCAGGACAGTGACGGGACTAGAAACTGTCACAAAATAACTGAACTGAGGCTGGAGGAGGGGTAGGGCACCTGGACAAGATGGGACAACAGAGCACACCTCCAGTCAAATACAGAAAAAGCTATCAGGGAGAATCCCGTAGCAGCTTCTGAGCTCTTTTCACGTGCTGAGCACAGGGTCAGGCACTGGACACGAGGATGCTGGAGAACGCGGCCCCTGCACCGCGTGTATCCTGGACAGAGAACTGGACGTGGTGGGGAAAAACACTACATAGGTTTCTTCAGATTAAGTTGTTTCCTCATTTGTAACCAAAAGTCTGCAGCCCACACCTCTGCCCTTCCATGTGGACGAGAGGTGAAAACCTCAACAGGAAACCCCGCTGCCCTGTGTCAGGCTCCGGAACAAAACTGCTCTGGCTCTGTAGTCACCAGCTGAGTTAAACTCAAGGGTCTCAGTTTCCTCGTCTGTAAAATGGGGACAATAACAATCCCTACCTCACAGGACTCTCGTGGTAATAGAGGGAATACAGGTAAAGATTTAGAACACCGCCTAGCTTTTAGGAAGCACTAAATGGTTACATCTGTAAGTCATTTTCGGACAAACTGTATAGATATCAAAGATTTAGCTTACTGCATTTTAAATCTTTTAAAAATTGTGAAATAAACAATATACAGTATAATGACAAAGCCAGCAGTCACGTACCACCACCCAAGTTAACAGATCACTGCCAGCCTCCTGGACCCATCTGCTTCCATCACAACGTCCTCCTTCCCCAGGGGACCCTGGATCCATCCCTTCCATAAGTGTCCTCCCTTCCCAGTGGGTCCACTAGCAGGACGTTGGCCTGGTCGGGTGCCTGCCTTCCCCCAGAGCTTCCCTACCAGTGTACAGTGCAGGGGACTGCCTGCTGTTGAACTTGGTAATGAACTGCTTCTTGCCACATGTGGTTTTCTGTGTTGCTTCTTTTGTTTGACATTTTGTGAGATACATCAGTGTTGAGAGTAGCTGTACTTGCATTCTTGTTACTGTGTAAACTCCGCTGTTAGAATTTACCACGATGTGTTACATGGTCCACTGCTGACAGACACTTCGCACGTTTCCAGTTTGGGCCATGCTGCCATGAACATGTCTGTACAGAACGAAGGCAAATCCCTAGAGCAGGGGTTCTCAAAGCCTGGTCCTCGGCCTGGCACCACTGGCACTGCCTGGAAACTTGTTGGAAATGCGGAGTCTCAGGCCCCACCTGCCCCTAGACACACTGAACTAGAAGACTCCGAGGTGAGGGCCCAGCGATCTGGGTCTTAATAACCCCGCCAAGTGATGCTGGTGCACATGAGTGCTTGAGATCCACTGGAGAACTGGTAAACAACTCTTTGTAAGCCAAGTTTTCTTGGAATAGGCACACCCTACGTCTAATTATTGTTCACGACTATTTTCACACTGTAGTGGTGGAATGGAGCTGCTCAGACGGACTGTCTGGCCTACAGAGCCCAAGCTCTCTGATCCCTGAACTAAAGGTTTGCTGATCGTGCCTAGTGACGGATACCTGGCACTAGAACCTCTAGGCCAGAGGGTGCGCAAATATTCGGCCTGATCAGCTGATGCCGAAGAGGTCGTACCAATTAGCACCACGCCACAGGGTGCACAGCCTCACCATCACTCAGGAGCGTTAAGGTTTTGGAACCCAAACAGTTCACCTCGCCTTGGTTTTGGTTTGTTTCCCTGATTGCTATGGAAGGCTCCTCTCTCCTGCTTTGTTTTGACGTGAAGCACAAGTCTAAAAAGAAAGGAAATCTCACACGGGACTGATTCGCTCAGATCCGGAAAGGAACGTCGTCAGACCTCTAGGCCAGAACCACAAACTCAGGCCTCTGCCTGGAACCTCGCCCCTTGTTCACAAGAACGGCCATCGGTCACCGTCACCTAGAGCGGTGCTTCTCAACGTGAGCGTGTCCCAGGGTCCCTGCAGGGCTCGCTGTGACACAGCCTGGACACCTGGCCAGCACCTTCTCCTTCCTGAACACCCAACACAGCCACCCTGCTCCGGAGGTAGCCTTCCCTCCCGGCCCCACTCCGTGTCCACCCATCCCAACTAAGCACCCCAGCTCCGCGCTCCCGTTTTACCGGCACCGCGGCCGTGAGTTCTCATCTGGGCACCAGCTCACACTCACACTTGTGCGGCTACCCTGGGTCCAGCTCCTTAAAGGCACAGCCAGAGGCGGTATCTCCCTAACACGCCTGGAAGCTGGAGGAAACCCTGGGAAGTAACAGAAGCTCCGTGCACGTCCTCTTGGATGGAAGGTCATCTGGAAATAGCTATCAAAATGACAAGTCTGTTTACCCTTTGACCCAGCAGCCCTATTAGGGGAAATGTCTGCATTCACCTATATTTAAAAGAACATTTGTTACAGTGTATTTCTAACAAAAGACGGTAAATAACCTAAATGCCCTTCAACAGGAACTGGTTACTTTAACAAATCACCAGTGGAATATATACCTAGTGGAATTCTATGTAACCGTGTCTCCTGGAAAGAATGATTTTTGAAAAGACAGAGAAAGATCACCAAGACTTACTCAGGAGAAAAAGCAAGGTGCAGAATCCTAGCTTTTTAGAAAAAGTACGACAAAATGAACATTTGGATTTGCACAGAGACACTGAAAGGACACACAGGAAACTATCAGTGTGGTCACCTGCGGGGTGTCAGGACAGGAACACCTGGGAGAATTGTTCTGTTTCTAAACATGTGGATGTACTGGCTTAAAAAAATACACGACAACTAAATGAAACTTCACAGAACTACGTGCCACTGGCTTGCAGTATTACCATTCTCGAGGTTAATGTCAATAAAAGATGCCTTATGCTCCAAAACTCATTCAGAATCATGTGAAATGGGTATGAAAGCAGAGACCACCCTCCACTGTTCAAACCATTTTCAGCAAAAGGAGAAAAAACAGCTGTAACACAGTAGAAGGTGTCCTTTAAGTCGGCAGAGATGGCCACTGACGTTACTGCACTAGTAACAAACACTGGCATTCTGCAGGGTTCTTTTTTTTTTTTTGCTTTCAAATGACTTTATAAACATTATAGAGTAGGAATCCAGAAATGGATTTTTTTTTCCAAAAATGTACATAAACATTTAGCTTTACAGCTTTTATCAGCTTTATCAGGAGGTTTGTGTGACTCCTTGAAGCAACTGTTTAAAGTTAGTTTGTTCTGAAAGTGGGAAAGAAGAGCAGGTGGCTGCACCAGGTTAGGGAGGTGGAGGAAGCGGAAAGGTCAGAGGAGTGCATTTCGAAGGAGTCAGGAATAACTCCGCTCATTTTAAAAATCTGCAGTGCGATTCGTTTCCAGAACAGACACCCGGCTCTGCCAGCATCCAAACGCTGATGCCAAGGCAAGTCTCATGACCAGCCATTTATAGTCCTGCAAATATGCAGCGTTCATCTTGTAGATTATCACGCTATCCTTTACTTAAAAAGACATTTTATTTTGTTAGTTCTGGTTGATACTCTGAGGCATTTCTTTAGAAAAATCATACAGGAAGCTCAATTTCCCGATCACATCCTTTTAAAGAATTCAAATTCAGTGGATAAGTACTCGTTTTGCCACGAGAGACGAGTCATGGGAAATCAGTGTACATCTGGGGCAGGTTTTCAAAATGCACGTGCTTTGGTGTGCACGGAAGTGGAGTGTACGCTCCTCATGTTCAGCCACGAATGCGGCTTCTTTCTAACCCCTCCACACCAATTAATCCACGTGAAAACACAGATCTCCAGGGCTAGTAATATGGAGACTTTCACTCGATGGTTTGGGGACAGAAATGTAAAACATCCAGTCCTCGTTGTACTTTTGTCTAGATACAGATCAGTCTGAGTTGCTGTCTCTCCCAATGAATCAATCCTATTCCCAGAAAACAAATATCGCAGGAACGTAACAACCGCATATAGCTTTATACAAGTTTACAGATGCTCCCATGTTCACTTTGCCTGCTTCATTAACAAACGGAACGATGATCAGCATCCAACAAAAACTAAGTAACTGCCAACAGAGGCAGAGTAAGACAAAACAAAGGAGCTTGGCTGTCAATAACTGTACTAACTCATCATCTTTAAGTAATTAAGAGTAGATTAAATTTAGTTTGTAACAATTCTGAAAGAGCTGGCTAAAAACGGAAGTGGAGTGGGATGGTCGTGCAGGCAACGAATTGCAAACACC